GCCAAGGCAATCGCAAAACAGACGACGACAAACCGGAAGGTGCTCGAGGAAGGATCTTCACAATTTTAGGAGATTCAGCTTTCTTTCTATCAAAAAACAACGGCGTCAATCAAAGCTTATCAAAGGAAGGCCGACACAAATCGTAACTGGACGTGGCCATTTAACGGATCAGATGACAAAGTAACATTTCACGAGAGCGATACTAACGACTTTGAACGTCCGCACAACGATCCTTTGGTCATCACACTAACCATCGATGATTTCAACGTCGAACGAGTTTTAGTGGACACGTGGAGTACACTGGATATCATTTTTCTTACGACCCTACGAGAAATGAAGATGGACATGACACAAATTGTACTAACTCCGCGACCTGTGCTCGGATTCTCCGAGGGAACCACCATGACTCTCGGGACCATCAAGTTACCAGTACGAGCCAAAGGGGTAACGAAAATCATCGATTTCTCTCTTACAGACCAGCCGACCGTTTACAACGCAATTATCGGCACACCATGGTTGAATCAATTCCGAACTGTCGCTTCGACATATCATCTCTACCTGAAATTCCCCACGAGCAACAACCGACGCGAATCATAAGAAATCTAAGCTGGGCCGAGCCAAAGAGAAAGCAGCAAAAGATCGTGGAGGCTCGGGAATCCACAAGACCAATCCCCGATCCGGTAATCTCCATCTGCCTTGATGACGAAAAACCCGAGCGGTGCGTGGAAATCGGCGGAGACCTAGGAAAAGAATTAACAGCTGAACTCACCTTTTCCTCAGAGAGAACGTCAATACATTCGTCTGGTCCCCAGAGGATCTCCCTGGAGTAAGCGTCGATATCGTAGCACACGAGCTCAACGTCGACCTGACGTTTAAACCTATCAAGCAGAAGAGGAGAAAATTGGGTCGGGAGCGAGCAGAAGCCGTGAAAGCCGAAGTAGAGAAATTACTAAGGATCGGCTCCATCACCGAGGCGAAATATCCCGATTGGCTCGTAAATCTGGTCGTAGTAAAAAAGAAAAACGGCAAATGGAGAGTCTGCGTAGACTTCACCGACCTGAACAAAGCCTGCCCAAAGGACAGTTTCCCATTGCCGCATATCGATCGCCTCGTAGAATCAACCTCTGGAAACAAGTTGCTCTCATTCATGGACGCTTTTGCTGGTTCCAACCAGATCATGATGAACCCCGAGGATCAAGAAAAAACTGCATTCTACATAGAACAAGGAATCTTTTGCTACCGAGTGATGCCATTCGGACTCAAAAACGCTGGGGCAACTTATCAACGCTTCGTCAAAAAAAAGGGGGGGGAGTGGGTCCGTATATCCATACTCCCATTTATTATTTTGTAATTTTTTTCTTCGGCATAAATAATAAATTTGATTCACGCTTCGGCTAAATACGATGAGCGACGGCTCGGAGTATCCTTTACGCCAGCTCGGCTACAGCGCTATATAAATACAAGATAAATTCTTTCAGATTACTTCAAAGAAGAAATTTTTATCTTCAGAAACCCGGTCATACTCAAACACCGGTACCCCAGCTCGTTTCTAAACGCAGGTCAAAGGGTAAATCATATCGGGTCCCAACCGAGAAGTTTCACCCAAAATACTCAACTGAATCACATCGGGCAATAAAACGGTTCGGGTTTTTCAAAATCCAACCAAGTGTTTCAGATTTCAAAATGGATAAAGCCATCCAGGCATAGGTTCTAAAAGTCTTCGGATAAAGCCATCCAGGCACAAGTACCTTGATCAGTTGCGCGTTAGCTCGCGCCCGAGATAAGTACATGAACTGGTTGTTGATCCCGTGAAGGAGCGACACCTTCTGCTCGGCGGCTTTGAGTTTGGCGATAAAAACCTCTGAAGTTTTGTGCCTAGCCGTTTGAGAAACCTGAGCCACCTCGCTATCACGGAGTCCCCTCGCCTCGGCCAACATGTGTTTGAGATGAACAACCTCGGAGTGCGCCCTCAGATTGAGCTCGGCCATTTTGATGGCATTCGCCTGGTTCACGAAGGCCTCCCTCTCGCCCTCCTCCTTCGCCATCTTCGCTGCGGCGGCTTGGGAGAGCGCCTCATCTCTTTCCCGCTCGACAGCTTGAACTCGAGCATCTTCTTCGGCCAACCTATTGAATGCCTCCATGTTAGTCCTCATGGCCGAATTGTACGAATGCACCATCCGGTTCATCAAGGCGACAGCCTGGAGAACAAATTTAAAGAAAGTTACAGGATCGGAACTCCAGACATAAGGACGAAAAATGAAAAAGTTATATATGCGCCTACCCGCAGGAAATGAGATGCCGTTTCAGCGTACTTCCGCGACTCTAGAAGAGTATCCGTAGGAGGAAACAAAGGACCGGCGCATCCCCCAAGGAGCTCTTTTTCCGCCTCAGCACCCGAGGCCTTCTTCTTCTTATTCTTCTTCTTGGACGCAGAATCGTCCGTCCGAGTGCGCTTACCCACCGCCTTGTCGCTCGCCGGCAATGCGACAACTGCCCCGAGCAAAGGGGTAGCAGCAGTCGGGTCGACCTCTTGAGCCTCGGCAGGCGTCGGATCAACCGGGGCCGTAACATTGGGAACAATTTCCCGGTCTTGAGTCGCATCGGGAGAGGCCGCCCGCATTGAAATCAGCCCTGCCTCTACAAGGCGTTTCTCCTCTTCCAAGCGTCTCTCTTTATCTTCTTTCTTCTTCGCATACACCTCCGTCAGAGTAAGCTTGGTTGACTGCATATCAACGAAGAACTGGGTACGATGTTCCAAAGATTCCAAACTAGAAGGACAAGAAACGCCGTGAAGAAGACGGAGCGCTCGTTCGACTCAATCCCGAGAGAAATGCTTCAACCAATCGTAATTCCGAGCGGATAACGCGTGAAAAGTCAAAAGGAAATCGTGTGGAAAACTACAGTTGGAAAAAGAAACTATAAAACCGCGTCGGGCACAAATAAATTGTTAGCTACAACTACCCAAAGTTCCCCATCTCGTCAGAACCGTCCCGAGGAGGTCGTCATGAACAACATCTTCGAGGACCACAAAGAAGAAGTGATCGGTATACGGCTCGACCTTGCTCGGGAACCCATCAATAACCTTCCTACAGGAGAGATGTAATACCAATCCACTTCGGATTTGGGAACCCGCCGGATCTCAAGAAGATTTTTCAGATGAGCGAGCGGAATGTCAGTCTCAGATTCATAACTCCGAATAAAAATCCCGAGCAGATGTCTCAAGGACCGCATCGTGATCTGGGAGAGGGCGAACTGGTACGACGTCACGTACTCCAAAACCAGCCTCGGGATCGGAAGCCACAAGAAACAACCGTAGAAAAATACCTCATACAGAGTATAGAAGCCCGCGGGGGGATTATCAGCTCGCTCATCGGGGCTTGGCACACGCAAACTAACCTCACCAAGATTGAATCGGCCCTCAGATCCGAAAGGGACCGCTCGGTGCATAAAGTTGAGCCAGGGGGATCCGGCACTATCGCCCTCTTACTCTTCTTCTTCTTCTTCTTCTTGGCTTTCTCAAAAGCCCTCTTCTCGTTGAGACGCAGAATATGTTCCGTCTCGTTCGGGCCGAAATAAAGAAAGTCCTCATTCTTTATCGTCAGCATTAAGGGCTCGGGCATGTCTCGCTAGTTGGACGTCCCGGCTTCGTCCGCCATCGAGGCAAGAGGGCTCCGGACGAGAGGCGCCTCGGGGTCATCGGGCAAATCCAGTTCCCGAGCAATATCGGCATTGGTATCTGCCCGAGCTGTGAAAGAGGTCATCTGCTCGGGGGCACTCGAAGAAGACACAACATCATCCTTAGAGGACGTCCAAACCGCTCTCCGTTTGTAAATGATTCGAGTCGGTGGAATAGGCGAGAGAGGTGCTCAGGATAAAAAAAACTTACTAGAACTCATTCTCGGTTCGGAGATGCTCAACGAGATGAGAAACGACCAAAAAACAAGAAATTTCTAAACCAGAAAAATCAAAAATAACAAAGAAACGGCGGAGCTTCAGCGAAAAAAGAGAAAAACAATATGAATATCAAGATCAGAGAGAAGGAAACAAACCTTGTTTCTTTTCTTCGAAAACTTCAAATGAGAACTTCTTAAAGGAGTGGCTAGCCATATATAGAGTTTTTGGAGGTGCGTCGGGTCCGCAGCAAGTAGATAAAACGCGTTGAAGCGCGTGAGCCCGGCAAAAAGGGACACTCGCGTGATCCTTGGGAATAAGCGAGAAACATTTCCGCTTCTCAAAAAATAGTCGGCGGTACGCAACGGAAGTTTGACCGTCCGGGAAGATGAAGCGACAAATTCAGACTTAAGAAGATGAAAAGTCGGCTCGGGAATCCATTTCATGAAGCTCATCGTCTCTCGTGCCAAGTCAATGAGCTGGGGGGCAAACTATTGGGGTCGGATTTCACCTAGGTAACCGAGCTGACCATGATCAATGCCTCGGAGATCACGTCGAAGAACCATCCCGAACTGGCCTTTAAACACCTCGGAGATCATGTCGAAGAACCATCCCGAGGTGACCTCGAGAATGCCTCGGAGCATCATCGCAGAAGGGTTCCCCGACCCGGTCTCGAAGTGCCTCAGATGCCAACCCGGAAAATCATCAAGAGGCGGGTCTCGAGATACCTCGGGAATGCATCATTCGGCTATCGTGATCCGAGCCGCTCAACCCCGATCCGAGGGTCATGGCAAATAGTGATGGCGTGATACTGCTCGTCACCAACAAGGAGGTGCACATGCTTCTGCTGACTAAGAAGGATCATGTCCAGCTTGTCATTCGGTGCTTTGATCTCCTTCTTGTGTTTGTCATCAGAGTCAGCTGTGCTTCTGATGGTCCTATCGCAGTCCTCGTTGTAATTACCATCTGATTGAGCAAAGTTCTCAACCAATTCCCAGCCTTCTTCAACATCTTTGTTCTGGAAATTCCCATTGCTGGCGGTATCCAGAAGCATTCTGATGCGTGGTAAAACGCCTCTATAAAGAGTGTCGAGCAGAGAGGGTTTAATGAAGCCATGATAGGGGCATTGGTTGGTATAAACCCATGAAACGCTCCCATGCTTCACAAAAGCTTTCACCAGCCTTCTGTAAAAAGCCGGAGATCTCATTTCTGAGTCTTGCAGTTCTAGCGTTGGAGAAGAACTTTGATAGAAAAGCATTCTTGCAATCATCCCAGGTGGTGATTGAGTCATGGGGCAGATTCTTCTCCCAGATGTGTGCTTTATCGACTACATAGTCTGTTGCCAGACAACTGGGTGGTCGAGTATCAGGTCGAGTAACAGAAGAGAAATGCAAAAACTAAGGAACAGATAACAATATGCAGAGTAAACAAAGAAATCAGTTGGATGAGAAATTCCCGAGGATTGGGTAATTGAGTAGTTTTGTTTCCTCAGTTTACAGGTGATTGACATGCTCAATAAATTATCCCTAGACAACAAGTTCATTAACCAAATCTAAGTGCCACCGCAACATAGACCCTCAAGTTAAACTAGTCCCAGACTCAATCACCATTGACGAGAGCTAACCTAACAGACATTACGAATCAACAAGTTAAAGTCAAAACGCTCCCTATAACCAATACCTTGGTATAGAGCCACGAATCTCTGGAATTAGTGGTTCAGACATTTCATCTTTTCGGCGCAGAAATGTCTGGGCATAAATTCCAGTCTATCATAAAGCAATAAACATTAAGAACAACTAATCCATAAGGGATCTACAAATCAAACTCAACCACCTAGCATACTGAGAATTCTAAACTACTCTAAACCATCCTAAGAAACCAAGTCACTACTCAGACATCGTTGCAGAGAACATAAACGTTGAATAAAATGAAAACATGATATCAACTGAGTAATAGCAAGATGATAACAGGATGAACAACGGTAAACGAAATCAAAAGCAAATATTGAATACTGAATGGATGAAGAGAAATCCGGATTACAAAAGGTCAAGAACACAGTGTATGCGAAATTAAACTTAGATAAACGAAAATGTAAAGTACATGCTACTTATAGCGAAATATTCTGAAACCCTAATACTAAAACGATGTAGAATTAGGACGGATTAAGAACGGTGCTCGACCCAAGTGGTCGAGTGAGTAGTCGAGTGATAAGCTAGAGTCTTTTTTTCTTCCTTGTGCTCGAGTGTCTGGTTGAGTGCGGAATGAAGAAGACTCTGAAGCTGGCAGTCGAGTATGTAGTCGACTTATAGATTTGGTGGTACTCGGCTTGGTTGTGGAGTGATCGAGTGAAGGTGATGAAGGTACTCGACCATGTGGTCGAGTAGAGTGATCGAGTGAAGGTGATGTGGTGGACATGATGATACTCGACCAGGGGGTCGAGTAATGTGATCGAGTGATTATCTTGGCGGTACTCGACCAGGGGGTCGAGTGGTGTTGTGAAGTGATGAGGCCATCTACTCAACCAGGGGGTCGAGTGGTTTGTTGAAGTCGTGGACCCATCTACTCGACCAGGGTTGCGAGTGTTTTGCAGTGATTTGGTCCGCTTCTTCCAATTAGCTCGCCAACAGCTCCAAATCACCTGAAAATAACACAAATATGCAACATGTATGCAAAACTATCCTAAACATGCAAAGTGATGACAAATGATTAGAAATGATATTAACCAGTGATGATATGATGCTAAAGTGATGATAAATGGATGCTTAAAACATGCAAAATGCACACTTATCAATAAAAACTATAACCACAACCGGATCTTAAAAGCCTAAGTAGTGTTACCTTGTTAGAAGATATAAAGACCAAGACTCATATGGCTCTCAGCTGCACCAACAAAGCTTAGAGAAGCAAGAAGAAGCTTGGTTAGTGTTTTGGAGTCAAATATAACTTGATGTCATGTGTATGATTGAGTATAAGAACTGGAACTGAAACCAGATATTAAATGCCTAAGTAGTGTTTCTTTTTTAGAAGATACAATGCAAAAGACTCGTACGGACTTCGGTTACACCATTAAAGTTTTGAAAAGCAAGAAGAAGCTTGGTTATTGTTTTGGAGTCAAATATGCCTAGATAGCATGTGTATGATTGAATATAAGAACTCGAACCACAACCAGATCTTGAAAGCCCAAGTAGTGTTTCCTTGTTAAAAGATACAAAGCTAAATTCTGATATGGACTTTGGCTACACCATCAAACCTTTGAGAAGCAAGAAGAACTTTGGTTAGTGTTTTGGAGTCAAATATGACTTGATAGCATGTGTACGATTAAGTCTTAGAACGAAAACTGGAAACGGATCCCAAAAGCAAAAGTAGTGTTTCCATGCTAGAAGATACAAAGCAAAAGATTTAACGAACTTCCACATCACCATCAACGCCTTAGAAAGCATGAAGAAGCTTGGTTAATGTTTTGGAGTCAAATATGACTAAATGACATGTGTATGATTGAGGATAAGAACTTGAACCGCAAACGGATCTTGAAAGCCCAAGTAGTGTTTCCTTGTTAGAAGATACAAAGCCTATGACTCATACGGACTTCGGCTACCCCATCAAAACTTTGAGAAGCATGAAGAAGCTCGGTTAGTGTTTTGGAGTCAAATATGACTTGATGTCATGTGTATGATGGATTATAAGAACTAGAACCACAACAGGATATTAAAAGCCGAAGTAGTGTTTCCATGTTAGTAGATAAAAAGCCAATGACTCATACGGACTTCAGCTACACCATCAAAGCTTTGAGAAGCATAAAAAATCTTAGTTAGTGTTTTAGAGTCAAATATGACTTGATGTCATGTGTATGACTGAGTATAAGAACTAAAACCACAATCGGATCTTAAAAGCCTAAGTAATGTTACCTTGTTAAAAGATGATAACACTAGATTTTAACCTTTTTAGGCCCTTATTTTTCATGCATTTAGCTTAGTTTCAAGTCTCTTTTTATGCATTCTTAGTCTCTTTTCCTTCTTTTGCACATTTTGCATTGCATTGCATAGCATACTTACATTTGGAGTGTTTTGTAGATGAATTAGGTACTTATGAATTTTCTGGGTTTTGTTCTATGATGTTCTTCAGTGTTCTTGAGTAGTGTTCTTCAGAGTTCTTGAGGATGGGTTAGGTTTAGGTGGATTCCTCTCTTCTTTAGCTAGCTAAGTGTTTATATGCATGATTCCCTTCTGTTTTAGGAGTTCTTAATGCTATTTTCTTTCTGATCAATTAAAAATTGATTTCAGACGTTCTCCATCCAAAAGGTGTTTGATGAAATGTCTGAACCAACTAATTTCAGAGATTTGTAGATTCTAGCCCAAGGCATTGGATGTTTAGACTGCTTATTAACTTTATTAGATTGGTGTTTAAAGCCTACTTTATTATGTTTCATCAATGGAAATTGAGATTAGGAAGTTCTAAAGTTATGAGAATCATTCACACGGAAGTGGCTTGATTTGGTTTTGAATCTATTGTCTAGGGATAGCTTGATTGAGTTTGTTAGTTAGCTAATGGATTGAGGAGTCCCTAAGACCAATTACCCTATTCTTAAGAGCTTTGTTTAGTTTATTCATGCAAAACTCGTGTTTTTAGTAACCTGTTGCTTAGGGTTAGTAGAAACACACCAAACCTATTCACACTTGGCTTGACTTAGTATTCTCTGATCATATCCAGATTGATAGCAATTACACCCATTTGGATTGACACCTTAAATGCTGCAATGACATAAGATGCATTTAGGGAATTGACACACCGAAAAACCCTTGTATCAATTTGGCGCCGTTGCTATTTGGGTGTTTTTCTTGTTACATTTAGGATTTCTAAGTTATTAAGATCAAGTTCTATTTCTTTCTTTCTGGTTACTCACTTGTTTCTTCATTTGCTTGTTTTTGTCTTGCAGGTACTCTTACTCGACTAGCACGTCGAGTACATCAACCGAGTAAGATCAAAACGTATGTAAACTCGTTCTCAAGGTTCTGGTAATCTCCTGCGGTACAGAGACGACATCGACAGGCTAATGAGGTGAATGCTAATGAGGTGAATGCTAATGAGTTGCCAGGCAACATTGGTGCTGGTGATGCACCTAGAAACCACCATTAGAGAGCTGGTATTGTCCCACCTCCTATTCAGAACAACAACTTTGAGATCAAGAGTGGTCTTATCTCCATGATTCAAAGCAACAAGTTTCATGGACTGCCAATGGAGGACCCATTGGACCATCTTGATAACTTTGATAGACTCTGTAGTCTCACCAAGATCAATGGAGTTAGTGAAGACAGCTTCAAGCTCAGGTTATTCCCTTTCTCACTAGGAGATAAAGCTCATCTTTGGGAAAAGACTTTGCCCGTTGATTTTGTAGACACTTGGGATGACTGCAAGAAGGCTTTCCTAGCCAAGTTCTTCTCTAACTCAAGAACGGCTAGATTGAGGAATGAGATCTTGGGATTCAATCAGAAGAATTCGGAATCATTTGCTGAGGCATGGGAGCGTTTTAAAGGATATACCACTCAGTGCTCGCACCACGGATTCAAGAAGGCCTCCCTACTCAGTACTCTATACCGAGGTGCCTTACCAAAGATCCGGATGCTCTTGGACACAGCTTCCAATGGTAACTTTCTCAACAAAGATGTAGCTGAAGGTTGGGAACTTGTTGAAAACCTAGCACAATCTGATGGGAATTACAATGAGGACTACGATCGCACTAACAGAGGCAGTAGCGATTCTGAGGATAGGCACAAGAAGGAGATCAAAGCTCTTAATGATAAGATTGACAAATTGGTGCTTGCTCAACAGAGAAATGTCCACTACATTACAGAAGAAGAGCTTACACAACTCCAAGAAGGGGAGAATCTTACTATTGAGGAGGTGAGCTACCTACAGAATCAAGGTGGCTACAACAAGGGGTTCAACAACTACAAACCCCCTCACCCTAATCTCTCTTAGAGAAGCAACAATGTGGCAAACCCACAAGATCAAGTCTACCCCCCACAGAACCAACCGCCTCAAGCTAAGCCCTTTATACCCTATAACCAAGGCTACCACCAAAAGCAGGACTTTGGACCTCCAGGCTTCACCCAGCAGCCACAGCAAACTTCAGCACAAGACTCAGAGATGAAGACTCTACTTCATTAGCTTGTGCAAGGACAGGCCTCATGCTCAATGACCATGGATAAGAAGCTAGCTG